ACACAGGACCGAGAGAGTCCCTTCTCGGGGTGGTGGCAGCTTATGTTACCTCCAGGCTAGCGAGTGTGCTCCAGGAGGAGGGTCAGCCGGATGCGAGGCGCCCCTAGGGAGGCACTCGGAGCCTGGAAGGTGATCGGGTGTAGTGAGGTGGGTGGCTCAATGCAGAAGCACCCCCTGCTGGCCTGCCACAAGGATCAGGTACCAAGTCACCAAATCCCAGAAAAGTCCAGGGGCAAGGTCCAGATTGGCTGAATTACCAAATAAAAAGGGAAAATCCAGAAGTCAGAGTCCAGAAACAGAGCAAACAGGGTCAGACATTGTGGAGTACTAGATCAAAGAGGCTTGCCAGCTCAGACCTACAACAAGAACCATTGGCGGCCTTGGAGTCTGCAGCTACAGCTGGAGCTGAATGGGGAAGCTGTACTCTCAGCAGCCCAACAGGAGATCCAAAAACAGGCCAGTTGAAGTCATTAGCAGAATTAGGGTTGCTAATCAAAGCCCCAGGCAGATATGACCCACTAGGCAATTAGCCCAGGCTGTACTACTTGCTCGGGCCCCTGACAGGCTTTTCTAAATGCTTCAGTTTATTTTTGATTAACGGTTAGAACAAACACTTAGCAACTAAAGAGAAAAAGCAGTAAATGCTGCAGAGGGAGATGTGTACTATTGCAACCTCTAACCTCAATTGCAATCCAGATATTCCATACATTTAAAATCAAAATTAATTCATACCAGAAAGAAATGGTGCAATCTGAGCCAGTCTGACTGAACCTGGGGCTCCGTAGCTGAGCAACCTGTGAAATGCTGCTGCTGTTTTGCAGAATGAACATAAAGTGACCTATTGAAATAAAATAAAATAGAAAACAACTTTTTGTATGTCAGGCGAGAAGGCAGCAAGTGTAACGCATAGAAGGTTTCTGAAGAGGTCATTGCCCCCACTTTAAGTCTTATTTAATAGTAGGCAGTTCAGTGCAAGTGTATGTGCTTCCAGGACCTGTCAATGTCTTACCTTCAGATTTGTTATAGGTATGATCCCGTGCAGGAGCTTGTTTCTGAAAGGCAGATGGAAGACCACTTCTGGAGCTTCTTACCCAGTCAAATGCATCTGTGCTTACAGTTTCAGACCAGCCACAGTTGTCTATTTCAAAGTCACACTTAGCAGCTGAAATATTGAAAGAGACAATTCACTTTGTACCTTTAAAATAATAACAAGTAACTAATCAAAAGTATGAAAACCTTTCCAACTGTAATTAAAAAGCACAGGAAGGGAGCACTCCTGATTTGCCAACAATGAACCAGGTCGCTATTCAAAAAGAACCAGAAAAGGGCATTATAAGGAAAGGGGAATATTTTTTTATTTACATTACATTAGCACATAGTAGGCACCTGTACTTGTGAGCATTACTGTGGAGTAGACTAAGTAACTCCACAGTAAAACATCACCATCTACATATATGCCCATATTAGGGTGCAGTAAACTAATTAACCTATTCAGGACAATCATACAGCAGAGTAGTTATGTGCGCTAAAATGCACAAGTAGATAGTGACCAGGGCTGGCTGGGGCATGAGGGTGCCCTTATGTGGGTGCCCTCATCGTGAAAAAGCTGCTGGCTGCC